GCACATTACCTATGTTTTTATTAGTCTAATCATGTGGAATTTGGACCACCGCTGAATTAGTACTATTACGAACTGTGGGACCTAAGTGAGTGTACGGGCTACTTATGGTCGTTCGTAAAATAATGGGACACATTGGTCAGGAAAGGCTCAGTAGCGTCTCAAGTTTTTAAACATCGTGACAGATTTACATTTATTATGTGCGAAAGTTATGTATAGGTTTGCAAGAAATGATTTATGCATTGTAATGTTTTGTGCATATGAAAACCCGTGAACTCACCAACTCTTTGTAGTTGACTTGTTTTATGTTTCATGTTTTTCAGGATTTAAGTAAGAAATGAAGTTTTGGAGTATATATGTGGCGACACCGATTAAGTTCATTTTGAAGTTTTTGTAAAAAAATATTCTATTCCAACTTGGTTATGGATGTTAAATTCGAAACTTTTGTAAAACTTAAATGGTGTTATTTATTATCTGTTGTTGTGACTTGCTTACCTGTTACATCTCGTGTTTCCGCTTTAACAGGGTGTGACAATCATAAAGTTCAAAATTTTATGTTAAGTTACAGTACATATAAAAATGAGTTATTCTTTTTAGAGCCCGTATAAAACATGTGATTATACACATTATTCTTCATCAATAAGATTTACAGTATCATGCGCCATTTCCTTCAAGTGATTTATTCGTTGGCAGCAAATATAACGTGATATCAGCTTATCTTTCGTTACATGTATACATGTGTGTTTTTATCGAGTGTAAAACTATTTTTTTTACCCTTTTTACTGTATGAAATATTAATCAATACGTTACATATAAGATAATATTATTCAATTCAATTACACAGTACTAGAAGGGTACTCGCGCAATGTAGCAAGATACATCTTGATTTATATTTTATTTTATTCTTTATCTTAGTCAATGTTATAGAATGATCTTATGTGATTTTGAAAAAACGATGGTGTTTTTATTTTTGAATAAAACCTAAACTTGAAGATATCATTAAAATTTGACAAAAATATATCGATATTAAAATCAAATTAACAATTTAAAATTTCTATTTTTTGTGTAATTTTTTAATTCAATCTTTTTATTATAATTTAATTTAGGTTCAATAACGAAATAATTTATATTTGGTTTAATAATATAATTTTCTTATAAAAAGAATAATTAATTATTTTGTTATAACTCGATAATTATCTTAATTATATTTTAGATTTTTTATATTTTAAACTGAGATTTTATCCTCTATTTGATTATGTTTATCCGCGGTTAATTACACAAATTCAAACATGGAGTTTTAATAAGTTGTACTTATGCATAATTTACTTGTAATCTTGAATTTTAAGTAGTATGCATCAATATACAGTACTTCATGCATAAAAAATGGTTTTTAAGAGTTTTTGTCAAATGCTTTATAATATAGTATAGATGATTAAAATTTGAAAATACAATCTCTTTTAATAGTCATATGAAACATCTGATTGTGCGTAGATTATTCTATATCGGTATCGTACAGAAAGAGTTCATACTTTACGTATGAGTCATGCCCATATTTTCCCCCAAACAGTGTGTGGTATATGATGTCTGCTTCACATTATTTATTCGTTGGTAGCAAGTATAACATGATATCAGTTTTTCCTTTCCCACACGGTATTCATTCATGTTTTTTCCGAGAGTATAGAATATATTTGTGCTTTATCCTGCTATAAGAGATATTAACGAACACGTTATTTTCAATTAGAGTTGTACAAATGTGGACACGCCACGTATCCATTTCCATCATAAATATGGACACGTGACGCGTTCACTGTGATTTTCGTTCTTAACAGAACCTGCAATTATCAACGTCAATAACATTTGTAACGAGTGTTTATATGTAAAAAGATAAAACTGAAGTAAAATAATATTATATTATGAATTTGCCTTTGTCGTGTAGCTTATCTTATACTATATTATAAAACATTTTATAAAAACCCTTTAAAAACCATTTTTTATGCATGATGTACTGTTTATTGATGCATATTACTTTAAATTCAAGATTATAAATAAATTATGTGTAAATACAATTTATTAAAGCTTCATGTTTGAATTCGTGTAACTAACTGCAGATAAACATATTCGTGTAACTAACTACAGATAAACATAGTCAAATACAAAATAAACATTTCATTTTAAATATAAAAAAGAATAAAATATAATTAGGATAAATCATTGGTTCTAACAGAATACTTAATTATTATTGTTATAAAAAATTTATATTATTAAATAAAAAATAAATTATTTTGTTATTAAATCTAAATTACACTGTAATAGAAATACTTAATTTGATACTAATATTAATATAATTATTTTCGAAATTTTATAATATTTTTAAATTTATATTTTATTAAAAAATAAAAACATTATCCGTTTTTCAAAACCACATAAAAACCGTATCAAAACATCTACAGCGACGGAATAAAATGAAACATTAAAATCGAAATATATTTCGCTGCATTGCATGGGTACTCTTTTAATTTAGCAAATGGGTGAAGTGATTTTACCCAAATATAAGACAAATATGATCAAAATTATCCAATCAAAAAAATAGAAATATAAACCACAAGGGTGATGTCTGATTGGTTTGAGCTTTGCTCCAAATATCAAAAGTATCAGTAGGTCTCAGGTTCAAATCCAAGAAGAAATAAAAATTTCCTGGTGGCCACGGAGGTTCAAATGCGGTGACTCCGGGCTATCTGCAAAGCAAGTGGTCGTTCTGGGATTAGTCGGCTCGCATATCGGGTTGGATATTCAGGTTAATTAAAAAAAATAGAAATATATAATTAATAATAAAAAATTATTTATGGATATATAATTAAAATAAATAAAATATAATTAGCAAAATTAAACATGTTTATTTTACTAATTCTTTTGATTTCCATTTTAGTCGCCCATCCGCTGTTTTAAAAACCTCTTAAACCCTTTGAACTCGTCACCTTCTTCCTCGTAAATCATAACGTCCTCCCACCCTTCACTCTTTATTGCTAATGTGCGCCACCATGGATACGTTACGCATCATCATCGTCACCTTGGCTCTCATGGCCGCCGTTTCCACAGTCGCCGGTCACAATATCACCGATATCCTATCGGAGTATCCTGAATACAGCGTCTTCAACAGCTACCTCAGTCAAACAAAACTCGCCGACGAGATCAACAGCCGTCAAACGATCACCGTTCTCGTGTTTAACAACAGCGTCCTGGCGAAATTCTTATCCAATGATACGCTTTCCGTCGTTAAAATCGTCTTAAGCATCCATGTTCTATTGGATTATTTTGATATGCAGAAGCTTAAGACGATCGGCGGCGGTACCGTGATTACGACGACTTTGTATCAGACTACCGGAAATGCCATCGGCAGTACCGGATTTGTTAATATAACGGATTTGAATGGCGGTAAGGTCGGATTTGGATCGGCGGCTCCTGGATCCAAGCTTGACTCGTTGTTTATCAAATCCGTGAAGCAGATTCCTTATAACATATCCGTTGTGGAAATTGATTTACCGATCATTCCGCTGGGGATTTTGACCGGAGGAGCTCCGTCGGGTGTTAATATTAGTAGTTTGTTGGAGACGGCAGGATGTAAGACGTTCGCGAAATTGATTACGGATACCGGAGTGTTGAAGATATACGAGACGGTGTCGACGAAGGGGCTTACGGTGTTCGCGCCGTCGGACGCGGCGTTTAAGGCCGGTGGATTACCAAATCTGAACAAATTGACGAACGCTGAGCTTGTTTCGATGTTACTTTTTCATGCGTGTTCGAATTACATTCCTAGAGGTTCTTTGAAGACGGAGAAGAATCCGATCCATACGCTCGCGACGACCACCGCCGGAAAATTTGAATTGACAGTTCAAACCAATGGAGATTCCGTTACGCTCGTATCCGGAGTCGATTCGTCGCGTGTTGAAAGCACGGCTCTCGATTCAGTGCCGCTATCCATCTTCAAAATCCAGAATGTTCTTCTCCCGACCGAGTTATTCACCAAGTCGCCGCCTTCTGTCCCTGCTCCGGCACCGGAAACTTCGACTCCCTCCGCACCTACGCCGGCATCTGCTCCTAGAACGATTGCGTCGTCACCCGCACCTGTCAATGCAACCTCACCAGTCCGTTCTCCTCCGTCTCCTTCAACTCCTCCAACTGCTCCAACTCCTCCAACTCCTTCAATTTCATCTCCCATTGATGCTCCTGCTCCGGCTGAAAACCCCGCCGCCGACACGGGAAAAAGCAACGCCGGTGATGGGATCAAAGTTCCAGGGCTCTTCGTAGCCCTAGTTACAGCATCAATTTCGGGTATTATCTCATCCATTGCTGCTTAATGCTTGATTTGCATAGCTTGTTTAATTTATGATTTATGATTTTTGATTTAGGGATTTGGAGGTTCATGATCTAGTAATTAGAACTGGGTGGTGATTACTTGTTTATTATTATTATATTATCATTAAACTTTTGTTCATGGAATCATGCTTATTTTTGAATTTCTACTTCATACGAATCACATTTAATTCATCTTCACAAAAAACACATTCATCTCCCCCAACACTTCTGTTACAAATAAGGAATATTCATTGTGCATTTCATGATTTGGAAAATCAAATCCGATCGATATGGTAGTTCCAGAATCAGTAACAAATCTTCTTGAAAATGGTATCCAGAAATAAATAAAATTGAGCAAATTACGTTTTTCCTCCTTATAGTTTGTTAAAAATTACAGTTTTAGTCCATATGTATATGAAATTACGGTTTTTGTTCTTATGGTTTATAATTTATTGGTGTTTTGACTATTTATGTCTTCAAATTAACTCCCTTAATGATTTAGCATTAAATATGAGAGATAAAAATAATAAAGAATTGTTAACTGATGAAAAAAATAACGATAAGTTATAAATAATGTGAAAGAAAACTAGAATTTCAAAAATATAGAAACAAAAATAAAAAGTTTTAACAACTATAAGGACTAAAAACGCAATTCACTCAAACAAATTTGAGCTTATGTTACAAATTTTTCTAACAAATTACTCCATAAAACATATACCGAATTTTCAAGTGGTGACGGAGGTTCAAATGCGGCAATTCCGAGCTACCTGTAAAATGGATGATCATCCTGAAAATAATCGACTCTCTCTCTCTCTATATATATATATATATAGAGAGAGAGAGAGAGAGAGACTTGAGATCATATGAAACCAAAGGTTTTTTGTGAGACCCGTAAGACCAATTTTCAATCCTTGGATTAGATTCATAATCACAAAATTGTCACGAGACTTCTTAATAATCACAAAATTGCCACCGTATAATTTTAGACCATTAGATCATTAGCTTATAAAGTTGATCAATGAACATAAATTAATCTTACAGGTCTCACAAAATTTTGTTGATCTCACATAAACCCAACCCCTATATATATGTTGAAGTACTTACTCTTCATCGTTTTTATATTCGAACACTATGTCTTGATGTATAATTCGAATCCAAAAGTGCTAAATACAATATTAGTGTTAAATTTTAATATTTAAAGATATATTATTTATTGGAATAATATTAATCGTCTCCATTTAATGGTACTAAATTATAGCATTTCTATTTTTTTATCATATATTAATTAGTTTAAGTAAATTAATTAAATTTAAATTTATGTATTTATACTATATTATAAAACATTTGACAAAAAAAAATTAAAAATCATTTTTTATGCATGAATTACTGTTTATTGATGCATATTACTTAAAATTTAAGATTATAAGTAATTTTACGTAAATATAACTTATTAAAGCTCTATTTTTAAATTCGTGTAACTAACTGCTGATAAGCATAATCAAATACAGGATAAACATTCATTTTAAATATAATTAATATAATTATTGAGTTCTAACAGAATGTTTAATTATTATTTTTATAAAAAAATATATTATTAAACCAAAAATAAATTACTTTGTTATTAAATCTAAATTAAATTATAATAAAAAAATTGAATTAAAAAAGTTACACTAAAAAAACTATTAAATAATTAATTTGATACTATTATCGATTTATTTTTTTACAAATATTTATGTTATCTTCAAACTTATATTTTAATTCAAAAATAAACGCATTCCCGCTTTCTCAAAACCACATAAAATCGCATTATATCGATAAAGACAAAGAATAAAAACTAAACATTAAAATCGAGACTTATCTTGTTGAATTACGTGAATACCCTTCTAGTTTTATATAGCCATAACAAGTGTTATGTAAATTAATTAGTTTTGCTAATTTAATTAAGTATTTAATTTTATAACTTTTTAAATTATTAAATTTTCAACAACTAAAACAAAATGTATATCAATATTAAGTACTTTTATCTGAGTTAAAATCAATGTTCTAAAGAACGCGTCTTGACGTTGAGGTGCAAACCTTGTTGCGATGTTAACCTCTTTGGCATGGATATAAGGCGTGGAGCTCGTTATGGCGGGCGATGATCCGCCATGGAGCGTTATGGCGTAGGAAGAAATTTGCAATTTTTAAAACTTGAGTAAGAGTAAATGTAAATATATATTTTGCGTTTTTACGGACCAAATACTTAATCAACAAAATGGGAAAAAGAAAAAAAAAACCCTAAATTACTTCTCAGCATACGAAAATTATTGTTCGATTACTTTCATTTGTTGTTCTTTGATTCTGTTGTTTGATTACCAAACAGGAACTATAAACAGTAACTCACCTTTGTATGTTTCAATCATTTTTGTGAACTCTGTAAATATCAAACTATCAATTCATGGTTCTTCTTTTATTTATCGTTTTATATGAATTTAATTTGTTAATGGTTTAATCATTATTATTTAAGATACTGACATAAAAACACACACACACACACATATTATAACAATTTAACTGTTTAGCATATTGGTTGGAGGATTTGCATTCATGTGAGACCAATCTGTTTTTATGAGACCTATGAGACCATTTTTTTACACTTGAAACTTCACAACATTTTTGCTATGAAGGTTCGGTCTTTTTTTTTACCTTTACAGTGTTTTGTTGCGAAGTTTCAAGTTTAAAAAAGTGATCTCACGGATTTCATGAAAACAAACTGGTCTCACGTAAATCTAATCCTTGATTGGATATCGTATAATATTACTCTAGTTCTATAAATAAATAAAAATCTATTTTAGGTTCTAAGTATTCTCTCTCCATATATATATATATATATATATATATATATATATATATATATATATATATATATATAGACTTGGGATCAT